AGATTATTTCCTTAAAATTCTGGTGATTAAACCTAAGGTGGAGGAAGTTGGTATAAGTGGAGGTACTTCTGAAATGCAGTTCTTCCAAAAGATCTCCAAACCATATGGCCTTACAGATATCACACCTGTTTTCTTTAGGGCTCACCTAGAACGTGAGAATAGCTTTACTCACCTACAACGTGATAATATCTTTGCCATGTAGTTTGTGCTTGGTGGGGGATGAAAGGTGCTTTATGAATGTGAATTGTAAACACAAATCAGAGACAGGGCCAAGAAGCTAAAGTAAATGCATTATTTTTAATTCTAAGGAGTTTTAATTGTACTTTTATTTTAGGAAGGTAATGATTTATAGTGCTTAATGGTTTATTTTTAATCGAGATCTCAAAAATCAAGTGCCTATTAAAGATCAGTGAAGATGGAAAGGAAACATATACAAAGAAATTCGATACTGGTAAGCATCTCTACCATCTAGTAATGAACGCAATAATTAACCAGAATCTGTGTAGGTTTTATCAACTCACTTTTAAGTGAACATTATACTTATTTTAGTGTCCACTTTGTTGATACTAGCTCAATATATTGATGGAGCGTAAATAGTATTTAAATCAGAAACATTTTAATGTACCACTTAATATTTGCAACTTACTTTGCAGTCCTATTTAACTTACAAAAATTCTAGGAGACGGTTGAGCATTACTCTTCCTTTCCTACAAATGGAAAAGCCAATAGAGAGAGACTAAAACGATTTGTCCAAGGGCACTTGTAACACACATTAATGTAAAAATTTCATTTCATCAAGTAATATAAGTTGCCTCAAGCATCCAGAGAGAGCCTGAGGGTTTCACCAGTTCCTGGTGGGGCCACCCACCCCCACTGGCAGGAGTGGTGGGGCTGGAACTCTCTGCTTCCTCTCTGTAGCCTCATGGCACCGTCTGCCCTGAGGCCACTAGGTTTTGTCACGTATCATCAGGATAGAAATATCCCTGAGTGATGTGTCCTGTGGATATCAGTCACCAAAGAGGTCCCTGGCTCCCTTGTCAGTTCTTCGGTCTGACCCCCAACCCCACACACGGCTCTGTACATCCCTTTTCTCTACCATGCCCTTCAGATGCCCCAACTCTTGAGACCCTTCCCCTGCGCTTGGGAAACTCAGGGTCAGCCCTGTAACTTCAATCTACTCCCTCAACGTTTTCTCACATTCTTCCCTCACTGAAACTGGCCCAGGCCTGAGGACACTACTTCCCCTTCTGCTCCCACAAATGTTTTCTCCCTGCACTCTTTGTCCCAGCAACCATTGCTCTGCAATGCCCCGAGGAGAATAGTTTCCCTTTCTCCTTCTAAAACCCTCCAGCTTTGAATTTCAAACCATCAGGCTCCACTACGAGCTATTTCTCCTTTTGTAGTCAGCTACTAATACCCACCTCCTTCAATCTCTCTTTCTCTCCCCTTCTCTGCCCCATTTCTCGAAGCTTCAGTTCTTGACTCTCTGTAACTCTCTCCAAGTCTGCTCTGGTGATAATTCTGGAAGATCTCAGTGTCCACATGGGCCATACTTCCAATACCCTGGCTTCCCAAGTCCATGACCTCAACTTCTGCAGTCATCTTGTCCTTTATCTCAAACTCGGCTGCCAGTATTCCTGGTCCTCCCCTGACCTTGTCATTGCTGATGACTGCACCACTTCCACAATCTCAATGTCAAGTATCCCATTCTTTGGCCAACACCTACTTTTCTAGCTAAACTCTTCTAGTATCCAAACTTCAAAAATTCTTTGAACCCACTGGGACCTGTAACCAATGGATCCTACCACCTTCTCCCTGCCCCTCTTTCCTCTCATCCCAATTCTCTGCTTACCCAGCTGAAATCTCATCCTCAGTCATTATACTCACTCCCTTAGGTCCACCCACACCTCCTTTGCCTCTCTCTTGTTTTTGTTTTACTTAGATGGCTGGTTAAGCCAAACTTTTTGCCTTTTCTGCATCTGCTCCTACGCAGTTGAATATGACAGAAAAACACCTAGGCTGATTGATCTTGCTCCAAATTCCTTCATCGCCTAAGTTTATTAACTTCCTACCCTTGTAAATGACAATTTCATTATCCTTTCCTCTCTCTGTAAAACTCTTCCTTCATCTTCACTATTAGCTGATGACTTTGCTTCCTAGTGCACTGAGAAAAGAGGAACAACCAGCAATGACCTTCATAAATATTCTGCCTTCCACACTGCTACCAGGTTGAGTTGCCCACAGTCTTGTCTCAGGCCAAGCCTACATTCAAGTAGTTGTCAAATCAAGGACATTGCTCCTGAAATTCTCCCCTCTCTTCTGCATCATCAATCTCTCCATTACTCCACTGAATCATTCCCATAAGCACATAAACATGGTGCATTTTTTTCCCAAAAAAAGGAAAATTTTCTTGATCCCACATCCCCCACTCCCAGCTACCTCATTCCTTTGTTTTCCTTTACAGCAAAATTTCTCAAAAAAAAAATTTTATCCATATTTGCTCTCTCCCATTCCTCTTCTCCCCCTCACATGAGCCCAATCCAGGCAGGCTTTCACCCTCACCGGTCCACTGGTCAAGGTCACCAACGACCTTTCAGTTTCTAATTCCAACGCTCAATTCTCCTCCTTGTCTTGCTTGATCAGCATGTGGATGGATGATCAGTTCTCCTCCTAGAAATGCTTTCTTCCTTTGGCTTCCAGTTCACACTCTCCTGGGTTTCTTTCCACCTTTTTCCAACCACACCTTATGCAATCTGGGCTCACTCTTTCCACCTCACCTCATCTTCTACAACCCTTTGTCTTGCTCTGTCCCCTGCAGTCACACTGGCCTCCAGACTATTCTCAATGGGTCAGGGTATGGCCACTTCAGAACTTCTGTACTCACCTTATCCTCTTATCTGGAAACGTCTTTTCCCAAATGTCACCATGATGCTTTCTTTCACACCTTTCAGGTCCTTTCTCACATATCACCTGCTCAGTGAACTTTTCTTGACCATTTTATATAAAATTTCACCTCTTTCCCCAGCATTCACTACCCTTCTTTTTGGTTTTATTTTTCTCCATTGCAATGATAACCATCTAACATAATATATACTGAACATGTTTGTGTGTGTATAACATAACACAGTTTTCCCAACCAGAATGGAAGCCTGATAGGGATTTCTTTTTCAGTCCTTTATCACTATAACCAATAAGGGCATAAAGCACACAGTAGGTGCTCAATAAGTATCTACTGAATGAAAAGAAAGAATGAAGGAAGGAAATGTATTCTTTCAGGAAATAAAGATCAATATTGCTGTGATGCACTTCATTGCCATGTTACACAACTAATCAGAGTAATATTGATTTTTGATTAAATTTCTAGGAGAATGCAAAGTGGCCTGAATTTTAGGCAAATCTAAGGATATGAGTACAGTTGGCTTCTTTCTCTAATAATTACCCAATGACTGTAAAACAAATATGGAAACAATTTGCAAATATTGGTACAAGTGAGAAGAGAAGGCTCCATTATCCGAGTAGAAATGTCAGGGTAACAATCAGTGATCTTTGCTTTAAGAAAGCTCTCTCAGGCTTTCACAGGAAAATGGCTGTGAGATACAAGTGTTTTCATAAATGTGTGTGCTGGGCGGGGGTTGGTTTTCAACTCTTACCTGCAATGGAGGATAATTGATTTTGCCTGTATTTGAATAAACATTATATCATGCATGCTATTCTGGAACTTTGCAGCATGAAAAAATGAAGGAGGTATACTGTAACCTGTTAATTCAAGGAGTTAGAAATGATTCCAGTTTCTTACCCTGTTCTAATTAACCCCTTTCTGTTTTCTTTTATTGTGTGTGTGTGAGCAAGACTGGCTCTGAGCTAACATCCATCACCAATCTTCCTCCTTTTGCTGAGGAAAATTAGCCCTGAGCTAACATCTGTGCCCATCCTCCTCTATCTTGTATATGGGATGCCGCCACAGCATGGCTTGATGAGCAGTGTATAGGTCCGTGGCCAGGATCTGAACCTGTGAACCCCGGGCTGCTGAAGCAGAGTGTGCAAACTTAACCACTACGCCACTGGGACAGCCCTAACCCCTTTCTGTTTTTAATCCCGTATTGGAAATGGGCAGTCCCACTTTGAAACATACTCACACCAAAGAAAAACACACAAACCAAAAACTCATCGACAGAACTGAGCCGCCACATTTCCATCTGCATGTTCTCTGGTCAGAGTTGGCAAAGACTACCTTGGGAATAAAAGTCAATACGAGAGTGTAAGGTAGGTTAACCACCATGTCCTCAACTATTTGGTGTAAGTATTTCAAGGATAACTTGACACCAAGATTTAACATAATAATACGGAGTCTGTAATTCCATTAAGGATTAAGAGATTTATTTTTAAGCGGTCAAAAGTATATGTATGTGTGTGTGTGTGTATATATATATATATATACATATAATATTTTACACCCTGAATTATTTACTTAGCACATCTATTTAATATCTGACATGTCTCACTGAGCACAACACAGTATTTAAATAATCTCCTTTAAATGGACCATCCTTTGTATTGAAGTCACATGTTCACATCCATAGAGAAAGCTGCCGTAGTGAAATATAGATAATACACACAAAGTACAAAAATCTGGTGAAAAGAGCTTGCACATCCACCCACAGACATCAAATCAGGGCTGTCTGTGGTGATCGATCCCTCAGGCATAATTCATCTCATCACTTATTTGTTTGCTTATCTGCTGCTACGTGGTACCTGCTCACCGCTGGCGTCCTGAGATGAAATGCTCTGGCAGATAGCAGATGTCCCAATTAATAACCTGTCAGGTCTGATGGATAGAAGAGGAAGAGTGTCCTCACACATCTCTCCAGAAGGCTTTCTTCCCCATTTTAGGGCACTGAGGGTCAGGAGACACACTCTGCTTCCCCAGAGAGAGCCTGGACTGTCTCATTAGTGTCTATCTTTCACAACACTCTGGCACAGACATTGGGAAGCTGACTCACCTGCTCTTCCCCAAGAATCCTGAAGTGATGGAGCTCTTTAATCAAGGAGTCGGGGCAGCCAGCTGGTGGAAAAAAGAATTAATCACAAACACATTATTCCCATTCTGTGCGGTAATGTGTTCCTACATCAGTTATGAATATTGACAATCAGTGTTGTTGTTTGGGAGGACACACTCACCTACCTGCAAAACACATTCTAACCAACCACCAAAAAGCCCAGCCCCCCAGGGAGCTCAGGCTGCTGCCTGGCCCCCCACTGTGACTCTTCAGGAAGGAGCTGTTTGTGAGCCTGGCCAGGCCTTTTCTCCCCTCTCGATTATGATCTGGCCTTTGTGGGGCCTTAGGGTACCATGTCATTTCTGCCCAGCATGTTACTTGTCCCTAATATAGAGCCAGGACTTTGCGGAGCCAGAGTGGGAGAACTGGTGAGTGTAGGTTCATTTCACGTATTTATCACGTCCTATTTCCTGCCCTCCAGGCTGGGATCCTGCACACTGAGAGTCAAGAATGAAGATAGCACAGGTGGACGCCCCGTCTTCGTGGGATTCAGCTGTAGTTTAGAACCTTCCCTGATTCCTCCAGGAGGCTTGGTCAAGACCATAAAGATCCTGCATTTCAGTTTGGAAAGGGTCTCTTACGGAAAGGACCTAGGAAGAGGACAATGATAGTCTTGGTGCCCATTACCTTCTAGTTCTACCCAGTCAATGAAAGCCTATTCAAGCTTTCATATTTTCTTTCTTCAATTGTAAAAAGAAATAAGTAAATAAATCACTCATATACATATATATACATATGCCAGTGCATGTTAGTTATCATTTAAAATGTGTTCCATCCCTGTCTTTTTAATAGAATTATTCCACAGTATTAATTTGTAGTCATCCATAATATTACATCTGGAAACAAAATTGATATAAAAACCTGTTTCTTTGAGATAAGATCTATGGATTACACAATCTTCTATTAAGGACATTGGGTTGTATGCAAAATGCACCAAAGCAATCACTGGGCTGTTTCTCATGTTATGCAGCATTGTGATGTAAGAATGGTGGAAAGTTCGTCTGGGGGAGGGCAGGCTGAGGAAGGAGGGAACTGTTGTCTTCACAGCGGTGAAGGAATTATCCTTTGCAAGAAAGATTAGATTTGTGCATTATTCTAGAAGGTAGGATTAAAATGAACAGGTAAAAATTACAGCAGGTAGACTTTGGTTCAATAGAAATAAATTTCTAATTTAAAAATGGAATACATTGCCTTACAATCCAGTAACTGGAGGTTTTCAAACAGAGGCTAAATGACTATTTATGCAGGACATTTTAAAGATGAATTTGTCTGGTTAGTTCCAATTCTGAAATTCTGTGACAATGTAAAATGCTGGAACATAGTTTTAGTCTTTGATATCATATTTGATATAGTCTTTGACATTATAGCATTTCATGCTCTGAGAAAGTGGTTCATCAATGTTCACTCAGGTAGTACAAAAGATTAAAAAAATGAAAACAGGTGATGTCACGACCTGACAATAGTCCAAGAAAATAAATAAAAATCCTGAGGTGAATATTTTGGTGGAAAACATGGTGAATTAACTGCCCTAGGCACGACCAATTCTACAAAGAAGGAAGGCTAGATCCTTGATGTTAGAAGGTATACTTGAGCTGTGTTTCTCCAACTGGAGACCACAAACACTTGCAGACTGAAGGTTTTTTCTGAGAAGTTGTTCATTTCAGAGCTGCTATTCTGATGATCATCTAAATAATTAGTCAAAGTGTATTATGGATCATTGGTTGGCCACAATTCAACCAAAAACTGCTGTGGAAATTCAGCCTCATGTCAGTTCTTGAGTTTTAAATCTTCCTGGGAGCAAATAGTCATATTTTAGTTTTGTTAAACCAATGAGAAAAGAACAGAGGCAGAGAGAATTCCAGGGATGCCTTCCCGACACGTGAGGGTCCCTTGGTCCAGTGCCAAGTGTATGGCGGGTGCTGAGTGGGAGAAGTGATAGAAGAATCCAGGCACCACCCAGCATAGGGTCGTAGGTGTGCTGAGATAAGAAGACCTGGGTGGGCCGACCAGTCAGGGCCCTGTTTGTATCCCAAGCAACAACTTAGTTTCAGTAAGATGACAGCCTCTGCCATATTAAATTCATAGGGTTAATTTGCATACTTTTGGTTTTGTGTTTTCATTTATAATTAATTTATAAATTTTCAGTTGGACCTTCTAGTCGTATAAGTATAAAATATTTATATCTAAATTTATATCTAGACATAGTTAGGAAATATTATTTTAAAAAATAATTTTATTCAACCTTAGAAGTTTTAGGGGATTCTTTTTTCCTTTACAGTGGTCCTTTACATCCCTCAAATTTGAGAAAAACTGACTTGACTTATTTTAATGCCAGGTATAATAAGAAACAGAATTTAAAATTAGCCTATCTTCAGAATTTGTATTCTAACATTCTCCCAAGGCATAACTAAAAGGATTGATGCCAATGATAGCTCAAATATAAACATCTTTAACAGAAGACTAGATAATTACCTGAAACACCTGGCAGGTGCAATAAAACGCAACAAACAGGGATAGGTATAGCATACAGTTAGAAGGGAAGAGTTGTAAGGGGTCAAGATGTTTAAGAGGACCATGGAGGGGTATCTGTGTGCTCATCACAGGAACATCAATGTGGGAAATGGACAGATGCAAACTTAGTGTGAAGACACAGTTTAACAGTAATAAACTAGAAACGCAAGACACGTTATACAGAATGCAATAGTGTGGCAACAAAGAAAAAAAGGACCTACCAATTAAAGACGATATGAAAGTAGGTGTTAACGGTGGTGGTGTACTCTCGTTTTATCCAAATTCCTCACATGAGGTCTACATACACATGACAGTGGATCATCTTTTCTTTTTTTTGGTGAGGGAGATTAGCCCTGAGATAATATCCGTTGCCAATCCTCCTCTTTTTCTGAGGAAGATTGGCCCTGGGCTAATATCTCTGCCCATCTTCCTCTACTTTATATGTGGGATGCCACCACAGCATGGCTTGATAAGCGGTGCATAGCTCTGCACCCAGGATCCGAACTTGCGAACTCCAGGCTGCCGAAGCAGAGCACACGAACTTAACCACTACGCCACCAGGCCGGCCCTGACAGTGGATCATCTTTTGAAGCCACAGCTGTCTACTTTGACCACATCGTATCCTCACAGCACCCAGCATCATCTGCCTTCACGCCCGTTAGTGGGTCTCTTATTGAGATAACAGTTAAAAGGATCCTGTTTAAATTTGTACATCGGATATCATGCCATCCTCCATGGGTTTTCCACCTCACTAAGAGTAGATGCCAAGGTCCTTGGAATGGCCTATGAGGTCCTCTGCCATCTCTGAGCCTCTCTCTCCCTTGCTCATTGCACTTTGGCCCCGTTGGCCTGCTGACCTTTCTCTGTTGCTGACCACCCCAGGGAGGCTGCTGTCTCCAGGCCTTTGTACATGCCACTACCTCCATCTGGAAAGCTCTTGGCCCCATATCTGCGTGGAGCTCTCCCCACCTCCTTCAAGTTCTGCTCAAATGTCACCTTCTCAGTGAGGCTGTTTGGGACCACCCTATGTGAAATTGCAGCCTATCTTCATCCCCCCACACCCCCATCACTGCCGTATTTTCTGCACAGCACTCATCATCTTTGAACGTACTGTATACCTCATTTACTTTATTTTCTGCCTCCCACTGCTGAAATACATAGGGACAAGCGCAGTGATCTTTGCTGTTTCTCACCGCTGTATCAGCCATGCCTAGAACAACGCCTGGCTGTACAAACTGCCCAATGGCAGGTGCTCCATGAGTGTCATCTACCATGTGGCCACTCCCCACATAGCTTGGTGATTATGGCACCTGGGAAAGGCTCCTACTACCCTCCTCTCCTTTTCTCATCCCAGAGGCCTCAGCTCTGACCTCCAGCCCTGCAGGTGCTTTGCTTTTATTGGTTAAGTGGCCTTGTACTGACCTCTCACCGCTCTCTCCAACTTAGACCCCACATGGGAATATGTCAATGATGCTTAGAATCCACGACTCCTTTGTACTTCTACTGGACCTGCTTTGCTAATATCCAATATCTAGCTCTGGATGAATGCCACCACCTACTTTTTCTTGTCCTGTTTCACTTCTGCCAATCGCAGCGAATGTAGCAAAATGGGGCTAGAAGATCTTCCAACAGAAATTCACGCCATCTACCTGAAGCTGCATCCTTGTTGAGAGCGGTGCCACTGCAGATTCGGGTCCACTCCTTGTCGACCCCTCGGTGCAGCTTGCCCCGCCACTTATCTTTGGCCAGCACCCCCTCCCATCTCCCTTGGGGACTCTTCCAAATCGTCACCATTCTTCTCAATTAGCCTCTAGACACTTCATTCTCAAAATACCACCTCACCTGACACAAGTCCAAAAACGTTAAGCTATTGCACTGAACATGGAGACGAGGGGCCCAGACCCGCTGTGAGGAAGCTGTGGGAGGACCTCACCCTACATGCTGGTCCTCCTCAGCCATAGAGTCACCTCATCTGAGGTGACACTTTTCTTAGGGCCCCCAATCTGCTCACTGGGTGGGGGGGAAGTGGACCACCCAGCTACTTTGTCCCAACATGGGCTACTGATGGGCAGCACTGGTCCCAAGCTCCTGCTGGCTGCCTGAGGCTTTGTCGGGCCTACATGGCAGCTTAACTTCTTACTCTGCCCAATCCTGCTCCCTTCGCCTCCTTTCCCAGGTGTGATCCCAACAAACATCTGTCCCCCATGCTCTTCCTCAGACTTGGCTTCCAGAGAACTCACCTTGTGCCAACCATCAAGTGTACCATCCCTGAACTTCATATTCCTTCCCAATCATAACCCCCTATTCTATCTATCCCTCTCTACTCCTCCAGGATGGAATGGGAAAAGGTTCCTTCTCCTCAGAACGAGTGTCATTCTTTATCCATCCTAACCTGTCCCCTCTCAACCTCTTGTAGGCGTAACTTACCATTCACTCTCTCTTCTCAAAGTTTACGGCTCTGTGGCTTGTTCACTTCAAACTATATATGTATTTA